TAATATTCCGTAGTAACAGAGGGAATTTATTTTATAATTCCTCAGTTAACTTATCATTTAAAAGAATGCGATCATCCAGCATAATGAGCATAGGAACAGTTTTTTTCTGTAGAAAAATCTCTTAGCCATAGACACATCATGTTATATCATTTTTATGCATTAGTCATAAAAATACATATAACATTGAAAACAATCATATGAAGAATATTATTCAAATAGTTTACTAAGATTAGCCAACATTTTACCCCATGACAGTATCGCTTGTATTGCCATATAAGGGGATACAATACCGTTTAAACTCATCCACCTAAACTCTTAGAACACCTATTGATGCAGTAACTTTACTCTCCCCTATTCTTGTAACCTACTCACTAAAGGTGCACTACAGAATGCAATCCAAAATATATTGCTATGCCTCTGAAAAACACATCATTAATGAAACATATTATGGTTACGGTAAAATAAATTTTTGTGTATAAATCGAACGCCCCCTTTGCAGTTCATACATACAATAAATTCCTCATTTCACAATACCAACGTAGTAAGTGTAACTGTATTCTGCACTTTTGGAGTAGTTTGAGAATTATTAATTCACAGATATGTTGTGTCATTACTGAGGTAGATATTTCAAAAGAATACTAAGATGACATCATCCATATGTGCTCCCAAATATAATCTCAGGCATATAAATGCGCCTATCTATCCCATCAAATCTGTAAGCTCTTTAATTCAGCACATGAACATGGATATTCATTTGGACATAACTAAATGAAACTACATTAATTAAAAATATGCAGATAATATATATGAAAAATGCAGAAAATAATACCCAAAATGAAATTACTTGATGTTATAAAATCCTAAGCGTCAAATGCCAAGTGACATTATAACGGAAATGACTCAAAATGAATTCCAAGTGTTGTCTGAAAGACACTATGCTATTTTTATAAACAAACATGTACTCTTCAAAAAGCCAATAGATTCATGTTCAATTATGGAAAATGTACATATGAACTCATATCTCGAAAATAATAGTCATGGTTCCCCTTGTATGACATTTCAGACATCAGTCAAGGTTGCATTATATTCAAGTACAGTAAATTTACTATAAATCATTCCTATTTTTCTCCTCACTAATAGAACTAATTTAAAAATACAATAAGAAA